TATTTATTTGAGAGAGAGAGAGAATGAGAGACAGAGAGCATGAGAGGGAGGAGGGTCAGAGGGAGAAGCAGACTCCCTGCCAAGCAGGGAGCCCAATGCGGGACTCGATCCTGGGACTCCAGGATCATGACCTGAGCCGAAGGCAGTCGCTTAACCAACTGAGCCACCCAGGCGCCCAAAGAATAAGCTTTGATGAAAGGTACTATTTGTCATGGTAAGAGGTTACTTTATTATACACTTTATACACTATTGAGAGCCATTGAAGACCTCTGAGCAGAAGAATGACCATGATGAGGTTCAAGTTTTAGAATGATTGTTGTCACTGCAACATGAAGATACATTGAAAAGGGTGGTGACTAAGGAAGCCTGGGTGGCTTGGTCAGTTAAGCCATCTGCCTGCAGCTCAGTTCATGATGCCAGGGTCCTGGGATGGAGCCCCACGTCAGGCTCCCTGCTCAGCCGGGAGTCTGCTTCTCCCTCTCCTTTCACCCCTCCCCTCTGCTTGTGCTCTCACTCTCTCTGTCTCTCTCAAATGAATAAAAAATGCTAAAAAAAAAAAAAAAAGAAAGAAAAGGGTGGATACTAGAGGCAAAAGAACTGGATCAAAGGGTAAGTGGAGGTAATGACAGAAAGCAAGGAATAGTCCCAATTTTGGGAAGGACTGACCCATTTGAAAATAAAACAAATAAAGGTTATTCACTTGGAAAAAATATAAATGGACATACACTCAGTTTTAGACACAATTACAGGTGTTTTTTTGGTCCTCCTGAAGCCCAACCATAGATTCCTAGAATTAACAGTCACAAGTCTAGAATAGCTGTCCTCAGACTTCAGTATACATCAAAGTCACCTAGAGGGCATGTTAAAACAGACTGCTGGCTTCCCCCCAAGTAGGTCTGGAGTGGGGCCTGAAAATTTAAATTTCTAACAAGGTCCCAAGTGCTGCTGCTGCTGGTGACCTGAGAACCCCACTTTCAGAACCCCTAGTTTAGAAGGTCATAAGAGCAGTACTTAGTACATTTACTAATCTACTGTTGATGGTAAGGCAGAGGGAGGAATTTGTTTCTGGCCTGGGGGATTGTGTAATAGTGCCATAACTTAGGACCAAAAATAGGAAGGAAAGGCAGCTTTGAGAGGAATGGGCAAACGAATATTGAGGTCCATTACGGACAAGTTTCTGAAATGAAGTTGAGAGAAAATTTCTAGAACTAAGATACAGTATGTGACTTAAGCTTGAAAGTAGATACAGTTAGGCCAGGCACATATGTAGAGGAGGCACAGTGGGTAACATTAAAGGGATACAAATAACAAACAACCCAAAAAAAATCAAGGCAGCATGTAAAGGGGAGGGGGTGTAGTCACCAAAGCTAAAGGAGGAAAAAATCCTAATTAGGAAAAAGCGAGGCT